AGCAGTACCACCTGCAGCAGCACCTGAGTCACCTGTGACCTCGACAGGCTCAGCGACGGGAGGAGGGTCTACCTGAGAGACACCTGAAGGAGCAGGACCCTGAGGGGGAAGGGGGTCTACCGGAGGGGGACCAGGAGCAAGGAAAAGCGGCGGGGGAGGGAGGGGGGCAGTGCGGTAGGGGAAGAGACGGTAAAAAGGGACCGACTCGTCAAAGGTGACATCCTGAGAGGCGAAGACCCGGCGCGAGGTGGGGTGGTAAAACTGCCAGCCAGGCGCGTCAGGGACAAAGCCAAGGAAGACACAGGGAAGTGTGCGGGAGGAGAGCTTGTCCGCGGACGTATCGCGGACAAGGGCACGAGCACCCCACACCCGGAAGCGCGACGCATCGCCAACCTCCCCCGTCCAACGCAGTGTGGGCGAGGTCTCCGGCAAGGAGACACGGGGCCAGAGGTTGAGCTGATGCGCGGCGTACCGGACAGCAAACGGCCACAGAAAATGGGGAGCTGCCGCGTGGACCAAGGAGGTACGAGCGACCTCCATGACCAGGCCAATGCGGCGCTCAGCAACCCCATTCTGCTGTGGGGAGTCCGGAAGCGTGAAGGTCTGCTCGATGCCCTCCGCCTGACAGAAGGTCCTCAAGAGGTCGGAGGAAAACTCACCACCTCTGTCAGAGTGCAGACGCAGGACAGGAAGATCCGTCCGGAAACGGCGGCGGAGCTGGAGACGAACTGTGCGGATCCAAGGGATCAGAACAGCAGGGACCTCACCCTTGGTGCGCAAGGGGAAGACCGTGGTGTAACGCGAGTAGTCGTCGACAATTAGCAAAAAGTACCGCTCACCGCCCTGACCACGAACGCGGGCTGGGCCCCACACGTCCAGGTGGAGGGTCTGCAAAGGAGCCTCTGTCGGGGGGAACGAGGAGGAGTGAGGAGCGGCGCGCTGCCGCCCCTCGACGCAAGGAAGGCAAGGCGGCGCAGGCGAGGCAGGGAGGGGAGGGAGGGACCTGGGAAGACCAGACACAAGGTGGCGACGGTGCATGCCACGAAGGCGTGGCAAGGAGGGGTGACCCAGGCGGTGGTGCCAGAGAAGAGTCTGGTGCGACAGGGAACGACACTCACAGGCGTGGGCCACTAGACCTGACGCGGACACCTGACCGACAGCAGCGACCTGAGGAGACGCAGTGGTCAGTGTGTAGAGACTCGACCCCGGCCGACGGGTAAACGTAGCCAGGTGACGGCCGGTCCTGGAGCACGTGCAGATCGTCACACGCTGTCCTCCAGGGGTAAAGGTGTCAACCCACTGATCCTGGAGGACAGCGTTGCTCACCAGGTTCGTCGAGAACGAGGGGAGGTGGAAACCCGACAACGAGCCAGACGGAACCGCCGGACAAGGGAGGACAGTGGTGGACTGGGCAAGGACTGGGCCCCCAGAGGGGTCAGCCAAGGAGACTGGGACCGGTGCAGGAAGCGGTGTGAGCTCAGTACTGTCACGAAAGAAGCAACGGGAAGCACCTGAGTCAAGGGTGAAGGTGTGACAGGCCTCAGCCGGTGCGGTACCTGAGAGAGCAGTCTCTGTGGGTGCTGTACCTGAGAGAGCAGACTCGAAAACAGCCGGGACAGCACTGGAGGGAGCAAGTACAGGGGGCACCATACCAGAGAGAGCAGACTCACTAGTACCCAGGGCAGCGGGCTCTATACCTGGGTCAGGCGGCACACACAAGTAACAGTCTCCCTCGGCACTAACAGTCAATGCATACATGGCAGCAATAATAGCATCATAGTCAAGAGCAAAGACATCAACACCAGCCCTCATGAGCTCAGCCCAGCGGGGGCGCTCAACATCCGCACCCATCTCCTCACGCCAAGCGTCGTCAAGGCGGGAGAAGCAGCGGTACGGGGTGTGGAACCTCCCACACGTCTGTCCCTTGCGGTCACCTGTGCGAATGACATAAGAACAGCGGCCACTGCCCCCCGACGTCCCACGCTGAGCAAGCCACTCACGAAGCTGCTGGGTCGTCTGGGGACGCTGCTGCTGCTGGGAGCTCTGGCCCGAGCCAGTGCCTCCACTCCGACCTCCGCCGCCACCACTACCACCGCTCCGACCGCCACCGCCACCACCGCCACCACCGCCACCACCGCCACCGCCGCCGCCGCCGCCACTACTGCCACTGCTTCCTCCGCCGCCCCCGCCTCCACCACCGACCCCACTCCCACCAGCGCTCCCGCCACCGCTCCCTCCAGCACCGCCTCCCCCCCCACCTCCCCCACCTCCTCCCCCCCCAGCGCCACCCCCGCCACCCTTGCCCCCCTTGCCCTTGCCGGTGCGGCGCCTCCCACCAGGAGTAGAAGCAGCGCCAACAGACTCAGCACCAAGGAAGTCAACAGCAGCAGCAGCAGCGTAGGAGGGAGCGAGGGGAGAGGGAGAACACCCCTCAAAGATGGGGGTGCGAGGAGCGCCACGAGCAGCACCGACAGCTACAATGCTCTTTTCGGCCGCGAGCAGCTGCTCCTCTAGGAGGGTGACTGTGAGCTCAGTGGGACAGCGAGCAAGGAAGTGGTCTCGAACTGAGCTGAGGGTGTCAGGGAGACGGGTGACTATGAAGTGGAGTGTCCAGTACAGTGGAGGGGGGTTCTTAGCGCAGAACTCGGTGGGAAGGGCGGCACGCAGGCGAGCATCACTAGTGCGAAGGTGGGTGATAAGATCGGCGACTGTAGCAAAGGTGGACAGATCGGGGAACAGGTACGGCAGCATGAGGCGGCTAAGCTCGGCTGTGGCAGGCGAGGAGTAGCGAGCAACGACAGCATCGTACAGGGCCTTAGCGGATTTGCAGTCGCCAAAATGCTCGAGCTCAGCTAGCGGCAGGTGACTGCGAATGGCTAGGCGAGCAGCTGCGTCACGAGTCTGCCAGTGGGAACGAACACTAAGCTCGGCTGTGGCAGCAGGAGCAGCGGCAGCACCAGACGCGTAGTCATAGAGGGAGATGTGGTCCGTGCTATTGCTCATAAGATACAACTGCAGGTCGTCGAGCCAGGAAGTGAACTGCACGGGACGGCCCTCAGCATCGAAGGAAAGAACGCGAATAGAGGCCATAGCTCAGGCGTGAGGGCACAGCAGAGCAGCGGCAGCAGCAGAGGGGACGCGCTAGAGCGAAGCTAGCAGCCACAGCAGGAGCAAGCGGCGGTGCACAGGCAGGGAGCAGCAGGCGAGGCGGGCGGCGCTGCAGGCGGGAAGTGCGGCGGGCGGGCTGCGAAGCGGGCAGCGGGGCGGGCGGGCGACGCGGCGAGCGGGCAGCGCGGCGGGCGGCTGCGAAGCGGGCAGCGGGCGGGCGGGCGACGCTGCAAGCGGGCAGCGGGCGGGCGGGCGACGCTGCAAGCGGGCAGCGGGCGGGCGGGCGACGCTGCAAGCGGGCAGCGGGCGGGCGGGCGACGCTGCGAGCGGGCAGCGAGCGAGCGGGCGACGCTGCGAAGCGGGCAGCGGGCGGGCGGGCGACACTGCGAGGGGGGCAGAAAGCGGGCGGGCGACGCTGCGAAGCAGGTAGCGGGCGGGCGGGCGGCGCTGCGAGCGGGCAGCGAAGCGGGCGGGCCGCGAAGCGGGCAGCGAGCGGGCGGGCGGGCTGCGAAGCGGGCAGCGGGGCGAGCGGGCTGCGAAGCGGGCAGCGGGGCGAGCGGGCGACGCTGCGAGCAGGCAGCGCGGCGGGCGAGGGGCGAGCGGGCAGCGTGGCGGGCGGGCGACGCTGCAAGCGGGCGGCTCGGCGGGCGGGCGACGCTGCAAGGGGCGCGCGAGGGCGCTAGCGAGGGGCGCGCGAGGGCGCTAGCAAGGGGCGCGCGAGGGCGCTAACGAGGGGCGCGCGAGGGCGCTAACGAGGGTGCGCGAGGGCGCTAACGAGGGGCGCGCGAGGGCGCTAACGAGGGGCGCGCGAGGGCGCTAACGAGGGCGCACGAGGGCGCTACGAGGCTAGGGCACGGGGTAGCGTGGTAACCGCATGCGAGCGGTGGTGGGCCCTTAAAAAAAACGATCGGTAGGTCCTAGGGACCTCCTGCTCTGAATACCATCTCAGAATAACTAGCCAAGAATGAATGAACTAGCAGAAGTTTGGGTACAAATATGAAACCCTAGTTGGGGTTGTACCCCATATTGGCTACCCCACTACAGCCTACAAGCATAATACAGTTTAACACTTAGTCGACTTTGAAGATGAGAGGTGCGCAGTCGATTTTGTGTTATATTAATTTGTTTTACGTTTCATCCCATGTCATGTCATCGTGCATTTCTTGATGTGCTTTCCCATGTATTGGCAAATAGTGGATGGAATATTTTTTTTGTCGGACTCTTTATGGTGTTACATGTGTTTATTTACATTGATGCGTTGGCTTGGTTCACCTGCAGCTTGTAAGTATATACGTATTCTTGTTTTCACCCTGCATTTTGGTCTTCTTTCCTTTATTTTTATTGTTCTTTTGGTGTTGGCACAGCTGCAAAAATCATGCGTGGCACAACCCTGGATTAGTTATCAATATAGTGCTAATTTAGTATGCCGCTGTTTATATTACTTCCGTAGACTGGGTTGGGCGTTTATCCGTGTAATTTAATGCATTTTAATAAGTAATTGATATTCAACGACTATTTGTGGTGCTGTATTTTTTTTTTCAATTTTAATGAAATAAGCAGCTCAATTTTACGGCTTTATATTGGTTTAATTTTACTGTTTACTGAAGCTACTTTGTTACGTATAACGCTCTTTATACACATGCTATTCTAGCAAAAGATAGTGTACTAATATTATTACCAAATCCTGCTTCAATATTGTCACATATTACTCACAACAGATCTTTTTATGAGCTTTGCCATTTTTTTTATGTATGTATCGATGTTCGCGACAGTGCCGCGACATTCAACATACGCAACCAATCAAACACTACCCACGCCCAATGTTTTTCAGCCAGACGTCCTTGGTGTGCATTCATTCGCCCAACCGAAAAACAATCGGGGGCTAGATGCCACTAGGATAGAAAACCAATCGCCGAAACCAGGCATATGCCTGGACCCGAAAACCACTCGCCAGCAAGTGGTTTCCCAAGCGACCGCGGGACCCCCCGAATTCCCGATGCGCGCACCCGCGCTTGTGCTCGTGCACCTGTCGCCAGATGCGACCGCGGGGAGGAGAGAGAGACGACGGCAGGCAGGAGGGAGAGGCGACGGCGGAGAGGAGGGAGAGGCGACGGTGGAGAGGAGGGAGAGGCGACGGCGGGGAGGAGGGAGAGGCGACGACGGAGAGGAGGGAGAGGCGACGGCGGGATAGGAGGGAGTGGCAACGGCGGGATGGGAGGGAGTGGCAGCGGTGGGATTGGAGAAGAGGCGGCGGTGGGATAAGAGGGAGTGGCGGCGGGGTTAGAGGGAGTGGCGACGGCGGGGTGGGAGGTAGTGGTGTTGGCGGGGATGGGAGGGAGTGGCGACAGGGGGGTGGAGAGTGAGAGGCGACGACGGGGTGAGAGGTGGTGGTGGGATGGGAGGGAATGGCGACGGGGGTTAGGAGGGAGGGGCGACTGTGGGATAAGTTGGAGAGGCAACAGCTAGGTGTTAGTAAAACGCGATAGTTGCGGGATGGGCGACGGTAGGTGTCGAAATTGTAGCTAGAACAAGGAGCCATAGCTAGGGTTTACCTAGCTAGGCAAGAGAGAATTAGACAAAGGAGAGTTTGACTAGAAAGAAGGGAGGTACAAATAGCAAGCCCTAAAAGGGTTTACTCACTATTGAGTACCCCACTACAGACTAGACAAGCATTATATTCTGACACACCCCCATAGTCAAAGTGGGGTATAATCAGCATGGCAAGCTGTCACAGAGCAGGTGCACAAGGGCCAGCAAAGCTAGAGGCATTCACAAAGGGCAAGTGAGGAGGAGGAGGCGAGACTGTAAGAGGAGAGGAGATGGGAGGCGATGGCTGAAGCTGCAGACACACGGGCAACAGGAGTCACACTGGCACAGTGGCTACCGGAACAGCGCCCCGGACTACAGGAGTAACTGGCTCCGCGGCTAAGACGAGCGGCAGGAGCAACGGACCCACGGGCGACTGGCGCAGCTGGCTACGACTGGGCTACCAGGACAGCGCCCCGGACTACAGGTGCTGCTGACGACAAGACGGCAGCCTCCGCTCAACCTCCCCCGACCGTCCCACCCCCCTCTCACACACCCCCTGCTGAAACCCTAGCTCCACTCCCACGGCACCCCCCTTAAACCCTAAACCATCGGCTCCCACACACCCACCCCCTCAGCGGCAGCTGCAGCAGTGGGAGACGGAGGAGGAGGAGGAGCTGCAGGTTACCCACACCGTGCACCCCCATGCCCGCCACCCCCAAACCCTAACGCAGATAGGAGCGCGGGAAGCAGCAGGGGCGGTTCACGGAGGGAAAGGGAGGAGGCGGGGGGGTCTCCTGGGCGCCACGAAGAAGCAGGGCGCGGGCCCCCCGAGGGCGCCACGGCGGGTGACGGGAGGGGGGCCGCGCACGGGCCCCCGAGGGCGGCTCGACGGGCGACGGGAGGGGCCGCGCGCGGGCCCCCAAGGCGCCGCGACGAGGCGACGGGAGGGGGCGACGAGCGGGCCCCCAGGCGCCACGACGGGCGACGGGAGGGGGTGGCGCGTTGGCCTCCGGGGCGTCGCGACGAGTGACGGGAGGGGGCAGCGGGCGGGCCCCCTGAAGACGCCTTGACGGACGGTTAAACCGCCGCGCGCCCCGAGCGCGCGGCGGGCAGAAAAAGCCGCCACGCGCTCGCGCGCACCACGGGGCGCGCGACAAACAGAACGACAGCGGAAGCAGTTGGTGGGCCCACAGGCCAGGAGCGGAAATGCTCTGATACCATGTCGAAATAGTAGCTAGAACAAGGAGCCATAGCTAGGGTTTACCTAGCTAGGCAAGAGAGAATTAGACAAAGGAGAGTTTGACTAGAAAGAAGGGAGGTACAAATAGCAAGCCCTAGAAGGGTTTACTCACTATTTAGTACCCAACTACAGACTAAACAAGCATTATATTCTGACAGTAGGTTGGTAGAAAATGGGAGGGAGAGCAGGTACGGGAGGAATTCGAGGAACCAAGAGTAGACCAAGTTCGAATAGGAAGGAAACGGAATATGCACAACAAAAGAAAGGAAGGGTCTGTTGTGGTGCTGGCAAGAAAATGGGTGGTTGGGAATGTGTGGCGCTGGCAAGAAAAAGATCTGCTAGGACAAAACGAGGTAGAAACGGTTTTTAGAATCTGCGTACAATGTTATGACGATGGGCCGAATTGCAAGCAAAATTCGCAAGCGAACATTGAGGGTGTCGGGTCGATGGGGCGAATTGCAAGCTAAAATCGCGGGCACATGACAATTCAGAAAAAAAAATGCGCACACGCTAAATTTGGAAACCAGGATCACGTGAAAATACACGTATAACCACGCTATCCACCTACACCTGATGCTCGTTTGAGTTCCACTTGGTTGCCTTGTGAAGAGGGCGTTTAAGTGATTTTGCATTTCGCACAGGTTTCATCAATTCGCAGCTAGCAAAACTGGGCATATAAAAAAATTGTAAATAATCCGTTGACATTTTGACTTCAGTCTCTTCAGTTTGACTTCGGTCTCTTCGTTACTATTGGTTCATAACGACTGCAACTTGCTCGAGGGGCCTGTAATGTGGGTGCAACTGGCTGGTCCAAAAAACACGGGTGCAGACTTTCAATCCGGTGCAGGGCGAATTTGCGCGTAGGGACTGATCATCGTGTGTATCTGACACATCAGTGGAAGCTGCAAATAAACAAACTCCCTAAGATTTATGTGATATTGCACATAATCAGCTGTAGGTAGAAAACAAAATTCTTATTATAATAACAAATAGATTATTACTCTCTAAATCGTTCCCCATTACCTAGCACTCACTCACAAGAGAGAAGAATGCTAAGCATAGTTTTAAAGAAGAACTTAAAAGCCCGTTATATGTAGGAAGTACATAGTTTGTGATCTATGTATAAAAACGGTCGTGTGCACCGAACATGAACGAACATGAGCGCATATGAACGAACATGAAAACACATGAACGCTCACGAAGCTTACACAAACAGTACGCGAACAGACATGAACGCGCGAAGGCTCATGAAAGCACCTTGATGACAGAATAGGCGACACGTTGACGTGCAAAATACATTTTGCACCCAACAGTTTAAACGTTTTTACAACACCTAATATTTTTTGTTATTTTCTTTTCTAATTCTAGAATTACTTTCCTAATTCTAGAATTATAACGCCTATGCAACCCTTCCGACGCTAACGTCGAATCTTGTTTCCACTACATCTATGCATATCAAATGACGATTGTGCATGTGCAATGTGCTGAAATATCCAAGGACTAGGTGGACAGGATAAGATGCCAAGTGTTTAAGACAACAGAAGTCTTATATTGACATTGCGTAGTGAATGTAAATAACTCGATAATAAAACATAGCATTACATTGGGGTATATAATCCTGGAATTTACTGTATTACAGGCATCTCTACAGTTATAGTGACTATTGCGATCCTTTACTGTTACCGCACCTTCTTGCAGCGTGTGATCGTCGATTATGATTGCGACCTTTCGCTCGTTGGCTCGCTCATGTATGCCACTGTTTCTACCCGTCCCGACCTTTCATACACTGTCAGGGTGTTTGGACAAGCCATGACCAGCACTCATACAAAACACGTGTGTGCGAGAAGTCGCGTTCTACGCTACCTACAAGGTACACCCAACTTGGGACTCGTTTAAGAAGGCAGTCCTATCGAGCTCAAGGGCTATACTAAGGTGGATATTGCAATGCTAGCAATGTCATACTGACGCGATGCAACCCAGACGACGTCGTTCAGTTCCTAGCAAACTTGTTGGCGAGGTTTAATTACTTGGTTGACGAAATAAAATAAGACAAGAAAAAAATTGAAGTTACACGACACGCTCCGAGCCAAGGTCCTCGCTATCAGACATTTTTGTCTGATTCTTCATAAGTGTATTTCATGTTTCATCAGATCCGTTGTGTCAGAGGGACTCTCTTGTTCATGACGGGGCGAATTTCTTGTGTTGTGCGAATTGTTGTGTCAGGGCGAATCTACACTGACCAGTCAAGCGCGAACCATTTGCATCCAAAAATTGAAACTAGATTGTACAATCGTCGTGTTTGATTGGTCAGGCAAGGTTTGGCCGAATATCTGATACATAAGAAAAATAAAAAAAAAATCTGATGAATCAGACGGGCCCGAATCGAAAGGCCCGTCTGATGCATTTGGCCCGCTGAAATCCTAGCGAGGACCCTAGCGTGCTGCGAGCCATACGTTGGCAATGAATCTTGCCAACGCTGCCTGTTGCGCAACCTCGATTGGTCGGATTTGCATCTGATTACAGCTTTGCTGTACCAACGCGACTGTGCGGCTGCCGCACGGGGGAAGTTTTGGTTTCCCGCCCGTGATTGACTCTGTTATTCTCCAAAGAACTATGTCACATAGGTAGAGAGAATGATGTGTTAGGGTAAAGGGGGAGGGGTACAAGACAGTGTCAAGAGTATTTTGTGTACTCCCTAGGATGAGCCTCACTATAGACTATAAACTAAATAATATAGTTTGACACACCCCCATAGGCTAAATGAGGGCCATCAAAGCAAGGAGAGCACACAAATGGTCACAAGACCAATCAAGAGAACAATAAGACGAAGCTTAGGGTGGATCACAATGTCACCACACAGTCTGAGCACAAGCAAGTGGCCACAAGGCCAGTTCAAGAGTGCACAAGCATATATAAATATATGTGCAAACAGAGCAAAAAACATGAGGCAAAGGCTACAACAACCGAGGACCTGCCCCAATAAGGCCTAGCTGTAGATAGAACATGTGGTGGTCACCCGGCGGTAGAGCCTTGGTGAAGATGTCTGCAGTGTTGGCCTCTGACTCCATAAAGTCCAAGCGTGCCTAGCCGCGTGGCTGCAACTCTCGCAGGAAAAAGTACTTCACATCGATGTGCTTCACTCTGCTCTCCAGTCGAGGCTCTCGACACAGGAGGATCATGGCCTTGTTGTCAACGAACCAGGTCGGCGTCGTCAGCGTAGGAAGAGTCGCAGTGACCGGTCAGCACAACTGGCTGTGTCCCTCCAAGTACAAGCCCCATGCCTGATGTAGTCGCCAGGTACTTCGACACCCTCACAGATGCCGTCCAGTGAACAGAACGGTGACTCCCAGTCGCAAAAAAGCGAGACAGGATGCTGAGAGGGAAGGCGAGGTCCGGACGAGTACAAGTCATCAGGTACATGAGGCAGCCCATAAGCTCTGCGTACGGACCAGTGGACTCAAAGGGCTCGTCAGGAAAAGGGCTGGTGAGTCTGTGGTCGACGGCAAGAAGAGTGGGCTGAGTGGTGGAAAACCGAAACCCGAACCGCTGAAGGACCTGCTGCACCATATGTGACTGTGAAAGTGTAATGGTGCAAGCAGCTCTCTCCCTCGTGATCTGCAGTCCAAGGTATCGGCACAGCTCACCTAGGTCAGTGCACGTGTGTCTCTTCTGCAACTCGGAATTCACCTCAGCCAGAGCGACCCTGTCTGGTTTAGCGAAGCAAGGTCGTCGGCATAGACAAGAACGAAGAACCAGTGCGAACAAACAGCGACGGGTCGGCTGATGAAGGACGAAACTCGAGGTCAGCAAGAGTGGTGCGTAGTGTGTCGTGCCACTCACGGGGTGCCTGGCGGAGACCGTAGACTGGTCATCGCAGACTCCACAGGGTCCCAGGATGGAAAGTGCCAGTGAAGCCAAGAGGATGACGCAGCCAAATCTCCTCGTGCAAGCTGCCCTGGAGAAAAGTAGTGGAGAAGTCGAGAGAGTGCACCTCATAGTCTCGCTGTGCAGCAACGTGAAGTAACACTCGAAGAGTATTCATCTTCGGGGTTGGGGCAAAGGTCTAGAAGAAGCCAACTCCCTTGCGCTGAATGAAGCCCCTAGCCACATAGTGCTCCTTGAAGAAAGGTGGTGATCCCGGCGGCCGCTTCACCTTGAAAATCCACATGTCATCGATTACGTTCGCCACAGGCGGGTGAAATGCGTCGACGTACGTGCCTATGGATTTCCAAGACGCCATCTCTGCCTCCATGGCACTATCCAGTTAGAGGCCCACTGCCCTGACATTGCCTCACGGTATGTGCGAGGAATGGGTATGTCAAGGGCGTCGAGGTCTCCCTCAGGGGCTAGCTGAATGGCACAGAGATGG